TCTCCTCCAGACAGCTGCTGTTAACCGCTGCAAGTCACTAGTGTTAAAAATCCTGCAAAAGGAGGGATTCGAACCCTAGGATTAGGTTTTTCGAAACTTGCAAAAGTTCAATTCTTTCGACATCTCACTACAACAGCAGAGTTGAATATAATGTTTTTTTTCCTCACTGCAATATCTTCCTAAGACAGTTTTTCACATAAGTTCATGTACAAGCTTTAATTTTTTTTCTCGAAAACGGCTACAATTTTTCTCTCAATGCCTCCTCGTATGGATCCAAGGATGGTAAAAGAAGTGGTTCTAGTCTCCTTGCCAGCGAACTCTGTATTTTCGAAAATTGCAAAATTTTAACAGAACACTCTACAACAGCGCATACTTTCCCGCAGTATTATGTTACCGTTATGTAATATTTCACAATTTCTGCCTTACACTTCCAATATTACTTTATCTCGTGAATAAACAAAGCGTAAAAAACAGTTTTTTTAATTAAAAGTTTAAATGAAAATATATTTATGGCATTGAGATCGGTGTATTCATATCCAACGCATATTCATCCTTCAAATATACTGCGTAAGCAGTATGCGAGAAAGTAAAAAAATAAAACAATAATATTTATCCATCGGCTGCAGCGGCTTTCGCTACAGCGCGTTGTTGCCAGTGCGGCGTTGATAAAGCAACAATGAATTTTTCGTTCGGTTAACACATTTCACAACGCAGTAACATGTGCAAACATTTAGAAAAATATATAATAGTAATTAATAAATATTACATAATTGTCTTACTCTCCAAATCTGCTCGTTCCAATACGAAATACACGTTACTCCTTGACAGAACATGTAATGCTAAATGCTCCATACGTTTTCACACAATCCCTTCAAATTCCATTACAAATCGAAGAACACGCTCGTTTCCAACTGTATTCAAAATTCATGTATTGTATACGGATTAGAGCAGGGATCCCAGAATTTAAGAATAACGTTCACATTATACATTTCTCCCCATCGTACGATACAATTTTAACAGTTTTTGAAGTTAAATAGATAGATAAATAAATACATAAAACAAATATAGGTGTTGTGGTAAGATATCTTTGGCATTTTTAAAATAATTAAAGATGTCATTGCCACAATATTTTTAATTCAATAGCAGCTTTCGATGGCTTAGCCATCATCAGTTGCCTGATACAAGAAGAAAAAACAAAAAAACAAAACACATAAAAGTGAATTAACAACAAGATTATGATAAAGGTTAAATAATTTACAAATTTTTTGGAAATATATTTGACAACGGGTGAAGAAAAAGTGGGGGGGGGGGTTAAGCCATTAATACTAAAGAAAACGAATGAAAATAGAATAGAACACGTAAAAATTATTTTATTACAGAAAACATAGAAATGTAAGTTGAGCGTTCCTTACTGCTAGATGGAAGCCACCAAAACGACTAGCGGGGGTCGGGCGAGCCGAGGGCTTAAGTCCTGGCCGTGGGGTGGAGGAGGGCATGGCCTGGGTGCGGTGCGCTGTCACCGTGCGCCCCGGCGGGTTGCGGTGTGGGAGTAGTGTCTAATAGTAATTTTAGTAAAGGAGAAGGACTATTGTTTATGTTTTCATTTAATTCATTTGTTCATTTCATGTGTTCATTTCATTAAACTACACATTCATTTAAATAATAACTTATTAAATGAAAACATAAACAATAGTCCTTCTCCTTTACTAAAATTTCTATTAGACACCACTCCCACACCGCACCCCGACGGGGCGGCACCAGTGACAGCACACCGCACCAGGCCATTGCCTCCTCCACCCCAGGCGGGTACTTAGCCCCTCGGCTCGGCCCGAACCCCGCGTAGTCGTTTTGTGGCTTCCATCTAGCAGGTAAGGAACGGCTCAAACTTACATTTCTATGTTTTTCTGTATAAAAATAAGATTTTTACGTGTCTATTTTCTATTTTCATTCGCTTTTCTTTAGTATTAATGGCTTAACCCCCCCCCCCCACTTTTTCTTCTCCCGTTGTTCAATATATGTTCCAAAAATTCTGTACAATTATTTGTAACCTTTCATCATGAATCTTGTTGTATAATTTCACCGTTTTTATGTTTTTTGTTTTTTTGTTTTTTCTTCTTGTATCAGACAACTGATGATGATGGCTAAGCCATCGAAAGCTGCTATAGAATTAAAAAATATTGTTGGCAATGACATCTTTAATTATTACATAAAAAAAGCCTCGTAATGGTGCCATGTTCAACAGAGAAGAATTTCACTGTCAAACGAAGTGCGGCAATTTAAATATGAAATTTCAAACTGTAAAAAAAACATTTTTAAACAATTGTACTTGACCTTTTTTAAAGAACTGCTAAACTACTCACATTTTTAAACAATTGTGCATGACCTTTTTTAAAGAACTGATTAATTTCGGGCAATTTCGACATCAACCCATAAGTGACTCAACTAATAACTCGATTCAGAATCAACTGAAAAGTTTGCTGTGAAAAAAGAGCTCAAAATTGCTGATTTTCAGAACGAGTCAAACATTTTCTCAAAATTGTTCATAATATTTCAATGAAAACTAGCGTAAGGACACGGGTTTTATTCTTCTATCGTAGTCGTATTTCAATTCTACTGCTAGAGGCTTGAAAAATAGAGGAAATGTAAAAAAAATTTAAAAAATGTCGAGGTCGATGCCAGGAGCGGGAGTCCGTGACACCGGTAGCACGACGAAATCACTCCTGCACGCAGTTGATCACCTCGCCTCAAGAAAGTAGTAGGTACTCAAAATTGCCCTTAACGCTTTGCACTTGAAATACGATATTTTTACTTTTATTTTTCTGTGAAAATTATCTCTTTTTTACTTGTGATTCCACGAAGTTTGAAAACGGCGGGGTTATTACATTCCCGACTTTAATTGCACTGAGAAACTTGTGGCATGTCACGGTGCCAGGAAGTGCGCCACTACCACAAATAGACCTTGACATCACTGATGTACTATATAGTTCTTGATAAAATCAATTTTCTCAATACAATTGTTAGATGAAAGTAAACTAAACCATTGTGTTAACTGATATGCACTGAAAATATTATGTTCATCATTGTTGTTTATTTTTGATTCATTTCATTTGTTTTGTTAATTAAGGACGTTGCAAGATTTTGTGTCGATGATTTCTTATAAACTGTTCAATTCAAAGATTTCTTTTCTACGTGAGGAGGCTCAGGTCTTGAGGCCTACTCTTCCGCAAATTTCACTCGACCCCTTTCGCCAAATAGTAGCGAAAGAAGGTCTTCGGGCGACGCAACAGGCAAATAGAATTTAGGTCAGAGGCTTCTTTTACGCTTTTAGAGCAGTAAACCTGCAACATGGGACGGCCGGCTTTCCTTCCCGTCCGAAGGAGGCCTGCGTCGCTAACCGAATTCCTTACCTACGCTACGATAAGTAACTAGAGACACAGAGGGTTCCTGGATGAGTGACTTTTTGGAAAGCCTAAAGCTTTACCGGCGCCGAGCCTCTGGCCGAAGGGATGAAAGGCAATGACTGATGATGACTGAGTATGTTAAAGGAGGATTACTCCACAATTTCGTTCGTCAGTTAAGGGTGTACAGAACGTTGTTGCGAAAGAAAGGAGTAAGAACGATTTTTTTTTCGCCCTTAAGAATCTAATACCTTCATCACTCTTAAAAAATAACTTCCTCACTCAAATTATAATTTTAAAAATCCTTTACTAATCTGCACATTAAATTGTAGGTACAGACAATCATATTATTGTTATCTTAGTAAATTCTGTATCTTGATTTTTCAAGTATGATCATTTAGACATAAAAAATTGAACAGTTTGTAGTTTCAGTTTGATATCCAAGAGAGTACTTAATGTTTGGATTGATCATAATATCGTATTCATCATAATTATAACAAGGCATGTTTTATTTTCTAAATTCTTTCTAATAGTTCTATATTCATCACTCATTAGGACTCATGTTTGTCCATTTGTATGAGAGTGTATGCAGGAGACTGGGTATCCACTAGAGGAAGTGAGAAAGAAGTATGTATGAAGTTCAAAATATCAATTTTTTTTACGGAGCAAGCCGTATTTAAATAAATGTTCTACATATTTAACTCATGACTTGCCAGTTACAACTCAATTTTATTACTAAACAAAAACAGAAAAAATAACTATTTATGGGCTAACATAATGCAAGTTCAAAACAGAAAATGTGCATTGAGTTGAAGGTATGAACAGATCATGAAGATAAAAAATATGACCAAAATAACTGACTCACATCCCTGTGAAACAGAATGTTAAGCCAATAGCAAATGCATGTAAAATATATTACAAATAAAATCATGCAATTATCACTGCCATTACAAATTTCATTCCTTAGGTTATTAAGCTTTGATCAGTATTTTCTTAAGTCTATTATTGCTTGTTTTCCCAAGTATTTTGTAATACAATCAATGTAAGTTTTGGAAAGGAGCAGTTTTATATGGCATCTATTAACCCTCAAAATTTCCCAAATGAGGATTTTAATTTGGACATTAAAACTTTTTGAACATGGAACCAAATTTTTTGCAGAACAAGATTAATTAGATTCTTGAACTTTCTCACTACTTTAACTAAATATATTTAATTCATTCATCATATGTTTTAAGAGTTGTCACAACCTTACCAACTTCAACGTAGTACCATAGACAAAAAATTGCTGTTCCAAAATGTCGAAAGAAAATATTTTAAATAAAACGTTTATTTTAAAGCTTTGCATAATGAAAGGATGTTCTCAAACATTCTGAAAGCATATTCATATAAATAATTCAGCAATTGTAATATTGTTCTCAAATTCATTGATTTATAGGCAAACTGAATGTTATCAGACAATACATTTAATCATTTGAACATTACTATTAGGTTTTATTTTATAACAGCTTATTTCCCTTTTTTATTGCAGATTTTTCTTCATCTTCCTATGAAATCCTATGACAAATTAATTTTATATTAAAGCATCAAAAAAAAATGATTTACCTGCCCAATAGGTTTTCAAATTCTCCAATTCAAAAAGATCTCCCTAAGTTCCAGGACCATCAGGACGATCTGAAAAAATCAAGAATCAATCCTACAAAAATCAGAAATGATTATAATCACATGTTAGAATTTTAACATGTACTGGAATAAATATATAGAGTAACACATTTATACATAATTGGGATATGATATTTTACATGCACCAAAAATAAAACAGTCTTCAATGGAACAGACCCTTCTCTCAGCCTCACTCTGGAGTATGATTCATAATTTGGAGGGTAATCACTTTCCTTGAAGAAGAGGGAACCCAGTGTTTATTTTTTCATTCAAATTTTTAGGCCATTCGCTGGATGGTAGTAAACGCAGAAATTGTAGCCACCTGTCACGAGTGGCTCGGCTTTTTAGTTTGCGGGGAATAGAGTGCTAATAAAGTCCTTTGCTAGCGAAAGACCCACTACTGTGACGACATACGTTACAACTTGAACTAAGAAAGCAGTTAAAAATGTTATTAAAGAAGTACGAACTCATGTCGCAATCCAGATCGTTTAAAAATATGAGGTGGGCGTAATAATTATTGCTATACGCTTGTGTGAGGCTTACCAACAAGGGCTTTTCCTCGTTGGCATTTATTGAATTTTCGTCAAATGGAGAAAATCATCCGCTACATACGGATTTTGAATACATCGTGCACCTTGTACCTCAAGATTATTACAGTCGATATCGGAGGATCTCACTGGAATCTCACGTGGATTTAACCGATTTAACCACTTTCACTTAGAAAATTCTACTTCGGACGAAGGCAAAGCATAGGGCAGACAAACCACGCTCAAAATCTCGCGACTAGCAGTACACTTGGCTCAGTGCTGCGTTCAAACGGGTGGCGATATTACTAATATTCCAGTCTACGTGGTAGTGGGAGCTGGACGAATACACACTTGACCAATTAAGTGCAATCAATGTGCTGTGCAGTATTTTTAAATACATCGACATTTTGTGGTAGTTATCTTCATTAATTGTAGGATTCTGTAAAAGAAATTAAGGTATTGACCTAGAATTAAAATAACTTACAACCTTGCTTGAAATGGTAAGTGTAGAGGTAAGCGCGAGTTGCTATTTTGTTAGCAATGCAGAAAAATCGTACTTGCAATTCGTGTACCGAAGCAAATAAGTTTTCTATAACTCGGAAACGAAAATGACTATTTTTCAAATATTTCTAATCTTTCGATTTTTAATTTTTATTTATGTTACACTTTTACTCATCTTTCAACAATTTATAGTTAAAATGACGAGAAGGGATTCTGGAAATCAAGAAAACGTGTGCATATAATCTTCTCTCTCCTACGTCACATACAGATTTTACTGTTTTTGACTAAATAAATCTAAATACAATAAAACAATGTGACAATTTTATAACAATTAAATTACATAATTATCCTAGAGAGACCAATGCTTACCAAAATCGACCTTCATTGACCTCCGTACGTTTTTCTCTATAATTTACAGAATATTCTTAGCACAAATACTGATACATCAATGATTTCAAGATTAATTCACACAAAGAACGAGAATAAGGTTTTAGAAAAACATTGTTATAATTATGTTGTATTATTTTTAATCTGACAAATATAAACAAGTTGTCAGAAGAAAAATGACATTCAAATTCGAAAAAGTTCGATTTTCATTTATGTGAATGGTATCCTTTCAAAAGAGGAGCAAATTGCAAATTGGTATTTTATTATTAGATGAAAACATATGGGAAACTAATATTAAATATCATAAAATAATTGTCCACTTCATTAACATTTATTGTAATCAAAGGCAATTATATCGCTGTTATCGGTACACATATGTCGATAAAATATATTCACAAATATTGATTTTATACATTTTCTATAGAAATGAATACCATTCAAAATCTCAAATGAACACGTTATAAATAACAAAAAAACTAATAATCAGTATTTTTTAAACTGCGATTTTTTAATAGAGTGCGAAGACACTACTTATGGGCGATTCCTTGACTTGACAGCGACTGACTACCCAGCGTCTCCTAGGGGATGCTGGCTGATTTATAACGGAGGATTAGTTTACTTCAATTAAATCTTAACGAAGGATTACTCCACGACTCTCTCTCTCTCTCTCTCTCTCTCTCTCTCTCTCTCTCTCTCTCACTCACACACACACACACACACAAACCTGTGTGGTTGCCGGTTTTTTTTGTAAGAAAGCGCCACGGGACGCTCCGCCGTCGGTAAAAAGGCGACTAAACGAGCAGCTGTTCCGCTGTCCTTTCCTCTAATATGCTTACTTTTCCCTCCTAGGTGTTTTCTCCCATCCCGCAAGATCCAATAGGTGGACTGAGTAGCCTTATGGGATCTTGCTCCCATATCCCTCGAAAATCCCCTTCTCACCTTCCTTCCAATACCATCTCTGCTGGCGGTAGCATATAAACGCTAAGGGAAGGTCGCCCCGAAAAATAAACCAGTGATGGGTATGAGTGAGCCTCAAACTTACTACCCAAGCGAGTCGAGCGTTGACGCCGAATATCGCCACCGATTCTGATCGGGTGAAAGCCCCGATAGTCGGTGCCGGCTCCATGAATTTGGGGGCCGGAGGCTGCTGACTAGCGTAGTAAATTCCATTCTTCTCTACGCAGCCCCTATTTGGGCTGATGCCATGGGCATTCAGTTCATACACCCGTGGGGCTAAATCGGTGCATAGAAGGTCCGCCTTGCGGGTTGCTCGAGCGTTTCGGCAACCGTATCCTATGATGCTGTGTGTGTGTTAGCAGATATGCCTCCGATCGACCTGATTGGCGCAGGAGAGAGCTAGACTCTATTCGCGCAAGCGGGAGGGGGCTTCAAACTGGAATAACCATTACGAAAGAAGAGAGGGGGTGACAATGGACCAATGGCAACGGCGAAGGGAGCAAAATCATCACTGGGCGACGGACATTTCGGGTCATTCCGACATCATGAGTGGATTCCAAAGGGAACATTGAGAATTAGATTTTTATCTAACTCAGATGCTGACAGAGCATGGATGTTACCGGACAGTAATTAGCTCCGATTCGGTTGGACGATAGCTCCTCATGCCCAAGGTGTTTCCCGGTGATTGAAGATGTAGAACAACGGGTGGTTTTCTTTTTTTCAATCTGGGTCCACGCCGCTTTCCCCCCGGCCCAAAAGTTTGGAAGGGAAGAACTTCACGAGACTCCTGGCAAAGGAAGTGACGTGCCTGAGACTCATCGTCACCAGGATGCTGCTGACGCAAGAGTATTCGGAGTGCGGTAGCCCACCTTCATCCGCCAATAGGTGAAGACGTCCCTCCGAGGCAGCAGTTACGAAGAAGACTTCCGTAATAATTCGGTGAAGTGCGAAAAGCCCCATCCTTCCTTCGCGATGCCAATGCCTGAGGCGGTTCCGCGGGAAGAATACGGAGAAAGGGGAGGGTTTTTAGTGGGTAGGCATAGGCTAGCTATGAATCCAGACGCTGCGGTTGCGGCCCGCTGTGTCTTTAGAAGATTTTCCCCTGCCCACGTAAAAAAAGCACACCACCACTCTCCTCCCCCCTCTCTCTCTTGAGGGCGTTTTGTCGCCCCGAGGTCTTTAGAACCAGGTTAACGCCCGTGGTACGTTCATAATTTTAATACAGCATCAATAAAAAAGGTTCTATATAATTATAACATAACAAGTCAGCTAGGCACTATGCTATAGCCAAAGTCCCCCTTTTCCCTTAAAAAGCCCTTGTTGTGTCACCTACGATTATCAGGGGTCCCACTATGTGAGTGGACAGTCCGCTTTTATCACATTATGTTCACAAATTTTTTTCACAAAAATAGAGGGCAATTCGTTATTCAAAGGCTTTAATGATTAAAATAGTCATTTATTACGTAATCTAAAGCTGTACAGTCTAAGAGACCATCCACTTAAATCAATCTCCGAAAAAAATTGAATTGAATTGAATTATGCCTATTTTACGTGGCGAGACTCAGGCCATTAGGCCTGCTCCTTCCGTCTGACCACGCAAATTTCGCTACGCTCCTTTTACCAAACTACCGGAGAAAGGAGGTATCTTGGGCGAGAAACAGGGCTTTGAATTTAGCTTCAGAGGCGTCATTTAGGCTTGAGGATCTTTTTACATGCAAGTAAATCTAACGAACATGGGACAGCCGGCTTTACTTCCCCTCCGAGGAAGGCGTACGAAGGATTTTTTCGCCTATAAAATGGGGTTCGATCGGGTTGAACCGCCAACTTGGGTACAACAGTCCATTACGCTAACCGTTACACCATCGCCGCCGCGATATTACTATTAATTTATATATATAATATAATTCACCTCTCAATGGTTCACAAGAATTTTAATTAAAAGTGTATACAATTATTTACATACTATTTTTATTAACTCGCATTTACTTATTATTTTTATATTATACTTGTTTCTTAGATAGAAATGTTTTGGAACTCTCAATAACTTATTAAATTTCATTGAGTGTTAGCCGCAATACGTAGAGCGCGTATTTGACAAACAAAAGATTTTGTTGAAGCATTATAATCATAAAAGAAAACCATTGTTTTTATGTACACACTCTTTTACTGTGTTTTAATTAAATCACCAAGTAAGTAAAATTAGGTTAATCTTTAGTAATAGCCATCAGTTCTCAGTGTAAAACAAACACATCTTAAATGAATTAAAAAACTCTACGAATTCGTGAATTCACTGTTATATATGAATTTAATCTAAGTAAATTATTTCATAATTTAATTTAATTGTAATTTTAAAAAAATAATTACTTCTCCCCCCCCCCCTTGTCCGTAATTCGTTGGAAGCAGACTTGGTAAGCCTGTGCCACTGATTTTATACAACTAGTTTTTCAGTGACCTGTCTGTCAACTTATCTTGCTTGGTTAACCCTCAAAATGTTCAAGATCAACATCTAAAGAGATCCAATGGGTAATTAATTTATACCTTCTTGTATACGTACGTATACACGGAGTATTATACATACAAAAGAGAAAGCCTTGAATGCTCTGGCGAAATGTTCTATTCATACACCAGAAAATCACCCTCATACCGAATTTGTACCTCCCTGATATCGAAAGAGAGCCTGGGAGAGGTGGCTCAGGGCATCAACTGATGTCACTGCAGTATTTTTGAGACCTTTGGGAAGTCCTCGGTTTGAGCCCCGACGGTGGCAGGATTTTCGACACTGGTTTGTCAGCTAGGTCAAATTCAGTCGCTATCTGTAGGAGAATTCTAGCGAACGGCTGCTCTGATCGGTATTTTTCGCCGTTTCTCTGATCAACACCAGGAAAATACCGGAGAAGAACCTCTCCTAACAAACGCGCGCGATATTTCCTTCCTATTCCTTGTCCTATCATCGCCCCTAACTTATGCACACTTACACTAACATGCACTACACAACCACACGTGCCCGAGGACCGGTTGGGAGCTTAGAGCTTGTCCCAGCAGGAGCGGTGCCACGCTGATGGGAGATACCTGGCTAGGGAAGCCGACATAGTTAGTGCTGGATCTCGTCATCCAGTGAGGAAGATCACCTCCACTTCCTGAGGGAGAAAACATGCACTACACTTACGGAACCAATGACGTTCACAGAATCACTAATAATCAATCAACCCAAAGAAAGAATCTTTCTTGCTCATATCTATAGAGCATTACTTTCCCTAATACATGACGCAGTTTCCTTGATTCAGGAAAGCCTGCTTACCTAAGCGTCCAACCGTCGGTGCAAAACACTAGTGCCTAAACTTTTTGCACGATTTTTGAAGTGAATATTCCACACTTGATCAGTCCCAACTTCAAGCCTTACCATTTTGAAAAGAATTCTTTCAATTTTGGAGTACTTCACAAGAAGCCAGTGGGAAATTTTCAAAATTTTCTCGAAAATGGCTCTATTTTTTTAAAAATAATCTTGCATGAGTAGAGTGCAGTGGAGGCGAAGTGCTGGTTCCCCAATGAACTGGAGATTGCAGCCCCATCGAATGACGGAAATATCATTTCCAAAATTCAGAACACTAATATACAATGAAGCATAAGCAATTAATGTAAATTAATTAAATCTAATATTAATAAAAGTCTACATTCAAACAATACGTATATATTTTAGTGTCTGTGTCAGGGTAATACAACTCCCATGCACATGGGTTTTTTTTCCCATTAGGAACGTAAGATTTGGTATTAGTTATGTAATAGACAATAATAGAATTCATACAAAATAAAAAAGAACTTGATTTCGAAAATACAGTAATCACACTCCAGCACTTTGCAACAAGCACTTGTATTTGGACACGACAAATTAAATTATTTTATTTCTAAAATTTCACATCAGCATTTAACGTTTAAAGCAAACAGTATAATTATTTAATACGTAACCAGTCAATTACATTTCATGCAATTTTAATTATCGAAAAAGCTTGTTTTATATTGTAAGTATGTTTCACGAACTAATTGTTTACATCTTCAGGAATACGGATTCTGTAAATGCAGGGTGATTCAGTCCTCGTTGCACATACACGGCCCTAAGTTGTTCATGTACATTAAGTTCATGTATGCAAAAGAAAATATTATGAACTCCATTCAATTTTTAAAAAAAATTGTCATAGGGCATTTTTTGCATAAAGGTAGTCCGAATATTGTAGTAAATATTATTCCCTAATGCTATTATTAAATAGTATCTAATGAATATGAAAGGAGAGAGAAAAACCAGAGTTATGTAGTATAACGTTTTATTTGCGTATACAATCATAATTTTGCATTTTCACCTCTTGTGACGGGCTCTACAAGGGTTCAAAACGATCCCCTCTTCCGTGAACGCAAGATCGGCATATGTGCCACATGGCCTTCGTGACGCGCACAACTCTGCCGGGTCGTCCCTTCATTTCTGCCAGCGCGCTTACAGTGCGAGGAAGGCCATCAAGATCCACGACTTCAGTAGCATAAACGCGAGCTTCCATTAACCCTGAGGAAAAAAATAGTCCAGCAGATTCACATCCGGAGACCGAGACAGCAGTGCTATTGGACGTCCTCCTCCGATCCATTTATTTGGAAATTGTATATCTAGGTATTCCCGAACTCCGTGATAGTTAAGGAGGGGGGGGGGAGTTCATCTTCATGCTGGTACTATTTCTGTGCCCGCACATTGAACGGTACGTCCTCCAAAAGCGTAAAGAGTAAATGAGTTATAAAATTCAGATACTGAACACCTCTGAAACACCCGAGTAAGAAGTGAGAACCAACGCTAACTTCATCAGAGAATTACTCTTGGTGCGATACGCGAAGTGCAACATGTGATTTATTTGTCAGCCCACAAATGTAAATTATGTATAATAATTGTTCCAATTCTTTTAAAACACACTTCATCTGTCCAAAGAACGGTTTCAGAAATTCCTAGTTTTCCTTGCATTTGCGCAGGAAATGCATCGAGAATTCATGACGCAAATGAGGCACCCGCTGGAAATGGAAAGATCGAAATCTCGCTGCATGAATTGTTCGCCAAGTGAATGTGATGCGTTGACCTCGCGTGGTATTTGTCTCGCGCTCGCTTGCGGACCTTGGCGGATAGTATCAATATCAGAGTTTTCCAGAGAAGTGGCGAGCCTTCTCGCGAAGTGCAGCCGCTCGCTCACGTGCCACAGCCCGTGTTACACGAGTCCAAAGTTTAACGATAATTGTTTACAAAACTAAACGACGACGAGTACCCAATTTTGGTTAATTCAGTCTGTACATTACAAATGATTTATGTCTATGACATATTAGCAATGAGGACTGAATCACCCTGTATGACAAAAGTATTATACAAATAATAAAATCTATTAATGAAATAAATTACAAGCAATACATGCAAATTCAATATAGATTTTTGGAGAGACTTTTTGTATGTATTTGCATTTATTGCTTATCATTTTATCATTAATAGATTTTTATTGTTATTAGTAAAAAAATATAAATGAATTCAATAATGAATGAATTAATTGTGTAGTCAGGTGAGAAGTGTATTCTGTTCCAGGTTTCTTAAATTTTGGGATCTCTATCCTAATCCATGTACCAGCAGTATGAGATGTTATTCACGAACTAATTGTTTGCATCTTCAGGTGTCTACTATTCGTTATTTTGCCATCAAACAAAGTAATATGTTCACTTTTGGTCTAGTTCAAAACAGTTTTTGCATTCATTTGATCATAAAATAATTTGAAATGAGACTTTGTATTTCAGAAAAAATAGAGAACAGTAAAATTAGTGTATTGTGAATTGCAAAGCCTAAGAGGGCCAATCATTTCTCATTAACAATTAATATTATTGCTATCAGTAGAGTATTTTTGATCTGTATTTAAATATATAAGCAAAAGTAACTTCCCTTCATTTACATTTTTGCCTGATTTAAACATTTTTTTCTTGATCCCTTGAAAAGCGTAAAAGAGATATTTTACTAAATTAACACTTACAGCCTAAAACATATCTCCTTAAATTTTATTGTTGGGTAACACTACTACAATTTGATGATAATCTTCTCCATCTGACAATGGAACTGCCATCTGATTAGGTCCAATTGTAATGTTAATAATAAATGTAATTTAAAATAAGAAACAGGAACATATACAACTTTTATGATGTCCTCACAAAGGGACATAAATTAATTGTTTAAATTTTGTTTAAACTCCCAGAAATTGGCCCTGTGTTTCTCGCACTAAATGGGTAAAAAAATAAAAAAAGAAATTCCCAACTTTTACTTGACATATATTGTGAATATTTACATTTTTTTGAACAGGAAAATTGAATTGGTACATACTTTTATTATTCTTTAACCTCAATTTTCTACAATCTTAAAAATTAAGATTATATTAACTTTATACAAAACATTATTTTGAAGCCCTCAAATTAAAAGCTCAGAATTTCTTGCGTCATATGAAAAAATGATTTCTTGATCAATCACACTCTGAAAAACAAAGCAACACTTTGTAATGGTCTACCTAGATCAATCACGATGCTTCACACACATTTTTGGCTTTCATTATTCACCTCCATTCTGGAATATCTCACTGTTGCTGCTTTCTCTTTAACACAGATGGCCTCTCAAATGTTTGCTTCATGCCAGCAGCAAGTGTGTTATGAAACTTCAGGTTTTGTGCTGTTTCTGACACCCATGGAGAGTCAAATTGTGTGGTATCCTGATCAACCAGATGTGTATATTTTGTTCGACCACTGCGACCAAAATTTTTCACTTGCATCACTTTTGGAAGAATAGTTTTGTCAAAGTGATCTTCCAGGGTAGCAGCAGAAAAATCTCTTTTGTACAAGTCATCATCTTCATCCTAAACAACAACAATTTTCAGTTATTGCTATTTAATATTTTCCTGAATATTAAAAATACTCCTAATTATTTCAATATTCATCAACCACACCCCAAGAAAATAATTTCAAATTAAAACAAAAACCTAAACTAAACTAAACTAAACTAAGAGTCATTTCATCGTTAATTGTAAATAATACATCTACCAGTTTTACTTGCAACTATATGGCACAAATGGGACATAAATTCACTGCTTGTTCAGAATCTGAATTACATTTTCCAATTAAGCTAATTGACACAGCAATCTAATTCTGTGATTAAGACAAATTTGAAATTCAAAATACACACACAAAAAAGCAACTTACCATGAAGAAGGCACCTCTGTGATAGTACTTTTGTAAGAACTTGTATTTGCCTTTAGCAGCTTTGTTTGTAACAATTTTGGGATTATTTCTTAATTCTTGACGTCTCTCCTCCTCAGTCATATTTCGCAACCTTTCTACTTCAAGTCGCTCCTTCTCCATTCTGACAGAGAACAAATACATTGTTTTAAGATGGTGTTAAAAACATCAATAACATTATGAATCAATAAAAATGTATTGAAACAAATCACTCACTGTTCGCGCTCTTCACGATCTCGTTTGATGCGTTTCAGTTCACGTACTTTCCAAGCTTCATACTCCACTTCATCATTTTCATCATCAGTATTTACGTCATTTAAGTTAGGTTCATCACCATCCTTCAAAGGCGCTGTTTCCTTTCGAACTTCTTCCTCGACCATCTAACAGTAACAAACAAGTTAAAGAAAAATGTATAATTTACATCAATTAACAATATTAAAAATAGAAATAAATCTGTTGTAACTGTAACATAATTATTGGATATCTACAGAGAGTGGTTCACATAAATGATAAGCAGTGACAGAGGTGGTATAAGAAGAGGAAAAGGAAGACAGATGGCTAGAGGAAAACTGTGTGTGAAGGTTAGAGAAGAATGAATGGATTGAAATTAATAAGCTCCCACATGAGAGAAATCCAAAGGTAAATTGAAAGGCCCTTAGTGTGACCCAAGAAGAATACACATAACTGGGATAATGCAAAGCTTAGTAGTACCGTCCACAGTCACCATCTGTAGGTAGAATACTTCACAAAGGGCCACGTAGATTCGCGCATCTATATAGTAATGCCATTTAAAATACACTAGAAAAATGATTCTTAAAAATACAATCAATCACAAACATAAACATTTTCAGGAAATGAAAAATTTAAACATGTTTGATTAACTTCCTAAGTGTTATCTCATCACTAAAAGACATAACACACTTGTCTCTTTGTGAATTGTTCTATATAAACTTTGTGATTCTTCAAAGTCGGGAGCTGGAAGGAGAGAGAGAGAGAGACATAGTCATTGAATTAGGAGCTTCGTTACGACCCACATTTTTGGAATTGAAACTCCATATTACATGATTGTGTCCTCTTCTCCTTCCAGCTCCTGGCATTTGGAGTTGTTATGAGTATATTGGGCAATATTTTAACACATAAAACACAAATCTAGGCTCAAAATTTTCCGGTCACATGTTATTTTCCAAAGAATGCAATTTTAGATACAGTATGGATCCAATATGCTGCGTTCACGAGGGTCCTCTGGTTCTCAAACAGTTTCATAAACTTCCCTCACTTTCAAGAAAATTTCATTAAAGCAAATAGTAATGAACTGGCCTGCACTTCCTTTACCACACAGACTACAATCAATCTACACATGAATAAGATAACACCACAAATTACCATGAAGAAATGAAAGTAGGCACCCCCTGAGTAACGTATTTCTGTTTATATTTCACGGAAGGTCTTGAGGTACAGTTTAGAGAGACTTGTGGGGATGGGTGTTATTCTCTACTTCAAACCATAAATTACAAAAAAAGAAATGTATACCTTCAATGTGTGCTTTCGTCGATCTTCTGCCATTTTCTTAGCATCTATTTCAGCCTGTTTGACTTTCAGTGCTTCTCTTTCTTTTTCAAGAACAGTGACACGATCTTTCTTTCGCACAAACACAGGTTTTAATCTTGGTCCTGTTTCCTCTTCAGAATCTACAAGAATAGTTATTTTTTCCTTTCAAATACATTTCTGTTTCATAGAACAATTTCATCGTTAGGATGATGTTAATCATACAAACAAGACGTAAATACAACGAAATGTATAATATGAAATGGAAGAAGCTGGAGGGATGGTGAAGATGGTAATTAGCAGAGAGAAAAATTAGAGGCATTGAAAAAAGGATTTTAAAATTAAAAATCAATATTAACATCAATAAAAGTATGTGGGCATAACAACTGGTTACATTATAGGTAAGAATATTATTCCATAAGGTCAGGGTTAATAAAAATCTTGATTTTTTTAAAATCTTAAATTATTGAAAATTTAAATAAGATTTTTTGATTTATATTTAAATATTCACAATACATAAAATTTTTAGATGTTTGAAAAATGAAACAAAACCAATCAGTAAGACAATGGGGCTAACTGACCTAGTTGTGAGATATAACAGGTTTTACTAGAACTTTCATAAAATAACTTAGAAACCATGGATCAGCAACATCTTCCTGGAATACTTTTTTATACACATCAAGGCAACTCTCAGCAAAGAATGAGAAAATTATTAATAACTAATTTATTTTTTTTTGGTTTTCAACAATTGTTCTTATTTCACTATCATTGGTTTTGTCCTTTAAATAACCTCTCTTGAAAGAAAAATACTTAATTAGTCCAAATAAATTATGCATTTTGAGTATTATAATTATTCAGATTATAGAAATCACAAATCGCTTCTTTTTCATCATTCGAAAATTACGCAAATGTAAACTATTGTATTTTCCAAGGGTCAACCTTCACTTCGGCTGACACAAACTTTGGATTTTTAAAGATGTATTCTTCTCCACTATTCCTCGCCTTCTTTGTAATATTTTCTTTTTAGTTTTCTGGAAATATTTTCCTTTTATTTCACCTTCAAAATTTTAAATCGTTCTTTCTAAAATTTACAAACATTATATTTTTGATTTAAATCAATGATTTTTTGGTGAATCATTATTTAAAGAAATGATTTAAATCATCAAAATCTTGCACACAGTACAAGGTAAATCATAATGCTAACTAAAATAAAGACACTCTTTGTTTCTCTCCTCATTACGATGCTTATCGCTGCCACCACCACCACATCCACCTCACCAATTACGCGGTAAGAGTGGCACAACTGCCCCCTCCAAAGTGAATGATGGAAAACGAAACCTTACGTACCGCTTGAAGCGAGTGACCAGCAGTGGTGGAGGACTCTGTCCGACTTTCAAAGCGCTTTTCACTCGGCTAATGCTTACTCGTGTGATTCCCCCGAAGGTCTATAGAGATCGCCCGTTCATCCCGTCCGATTATCCTACAGGGCCTTCTGTGGGGGAGATGCAAGTTGGGACGACCAGTTTCGTCGCAGATAACGGAGAACCGAGTTTGTAAGAGCCTTAGAAATAGAGCCGGATTGATGTGACGGGAAGAGGGAACGGGTCGACCTTGAGCGCACTGGCACCACCAGCTCCACGGTGGTCGGAGCGGTTCGCCGTCCCTTACACGCGCTCCGCACACCGAGTGGACCGATGGGAAGGGAAACACGACATGACGTGTCAGAGTGGCACATCAGCGCAGCTGACTATTGGTAGTGAAAGCGATTGCCATTCCGCTTGAACTGGGGTGCCAACTGGTGGTGCGAGTCCTGTAGAACACGATGATGCGACACAGTATCCGAAACAGCGGAGACTCGAAATGGCGGCCTTGGTCGGTGGCGATGCGGGTACGAAGTAGGAGTGTCGAGGCGAAGACGACATTACCGTTGCCTCTGCAGTCGAGTTCAGCCGCTCTCGGGAGGAAAATCCGACCGGCTGGCTCATCTGATCTGTATTTTTTGCAACCAATACCAGGGGAATGACGGAGGAACACCCTCACAAATGGGCCACGGACTGCGCGCGATCTTTCCTTCCTCTTGTTATATCCTCTACCCTCACATACCTAGCATATGTCGGGAGCTTGGAGTTTGTCCCGGCTGAGACGGTGCCCAGGGGAAGATACTTCAAGGGGGAAATTCCCCGCAAGCCGACGTGTAGGTAGTCTTAACTCGACACCTCCCGGAATCGTTCACTACACTAATGGAACTAATAGCAGTTGACATACTCGGATCAATCGAAACTACTTCTGTGGTGATTACTGCGATATTGGGAGAGCATTCTGGTAAGCGACGAAAGTTAATGACTTAAGCAGAAGCGGCAGGACCCAGCTGGAGGAAGACGTCTATGTATCTAATATACATAATGTTCATGTTCACATGTCGGAATCTCAGACTTGGATGTACCTAAAGGTGAACAGTTATGCCTGCTGATCTTGGCGCATTGGCAACGTTCTCTTGCTTCGGCCTATAAGCCGTAATAGCAGTATTTTTCATTTGAGGCCACACATTTAGGGTGGTGACTCTTACTCTTGGGTAACTGAGGTAGCGCAGAGACGCAAAGACCTGGTGTCAAAGAGCGAAGAAAGACCGATGTTTCATATCGGTAAGGGTGAAAAGTTGAATGTCACCCAGCCGTTCGATGTCCGTTTGAGCAATAACAATTCTCTGCAAATCAAGAGCGGTACATCATTTAAACAGTCCTTGAAAATCTTCGCTCTATTGTGATTGAGCCAATGCAATTAAGTTCACTGTTGGTTCGGTCGCAGCATCAGCAACTACATTTGTCGGACCGTCTGTACATTGTATTGTAAATTGTGGTACAAACGACAGCTGATTTAGAAGGACTGGTGGTAGCTTATTGCGTTGATGCTTCCAACCATACACAACTGGCTTATAGTCAGTGAACTCCGTGATTAGTGGGTCTTCCAAATGATGATGGAAGTGGTAGATATCGTTGTAGATGGCAAGTAGTTCCTGATAATACGCAGGCCGCTAGATATTTGGACATCAGCAACTTCGAAAAGGCCCCTTGGGGTTGCCAGAGCCTTTAGCGACTTTCTGCTGAAGAAATGAGGCATCTGTGACGAGCGCTGTGGATGGGGAGAACCAGGAGTGTGGCTTGAAGTAGGTGGTTGCGTCAGGTGAAAAAGGACAGACCTAATCCCGGAGTTCAATAGTTGAGGATTATTCAGACTAGCGATGGTATTGTGAAGTAGTGCTCTAGGTGTTCAGCACAGCCGCAATAAATCTTTTCAAAAATTTAGTATTCCGAAGAACCACAGAGATCTCGTCTAACCAAGGATGCTTTTAGAGAGCTCTGAAATGTCTCTCTTGCCATTAATACATACATTTCCAGCGATTTTTATACATTGTTGCATTGAGTGAATGTGCTTCAAATGACTTCCAGTGAATTTTTTCGACAACTCAAGAGTTCTGTGAAAAAGATCTTCAAATTTCACATTTAGGGTAACATTTAAATAACAATTTCTTAGAAACTGATCCAAATTTTTCAACAAAAATTTCCATACAGGACCAGGTTTTACTCTTTTATAATTTTCTTAAAGTAATAAAGAAAACTAAAAATTGAGAAAATGGATTTAAAAATAAGTACTTTTGGCGGTGATAAATGGGAGCTGGTAAGAGAATGGGGCAAGACTGAAAAGCTAGGTCAGACCAAAGAAATTAGGATACTAAATGAGAAAATCTATGCCATTCTATAGCACTAATAGTTAATTGCTTTACTTTTGTACGGAGAAAATTTTACCTATCCTGATTTATGGGCACTATGGGTAGGATTGGGTGGGTGGCAAGAACTGAGATCGAAGGCCAAAACGTACCTGTTAATTTGAAATTTGTAGGAGTTAAATGAGTCAACCAAAAGGATTTTTTTAATGAAAATACAGGGGAATTCATATATTTTAAAATCAAGATTTTTTCTAATCACCTTGTCTTATTTTCATGCCCAAAAACAAAAACAACACACACACACCAAAGTGCCTTCATGCACAACATCCAAACTATCATGAAGTTAAACAACAAAATAAATTATACAATTCTACCTGAATATTCTTCATACTCTGAAGATTCAGATTCACTTTCTTCTGGTGAATGATTTTCATCTTCTTTATCCAGTACTTCAACATCCTAAAAATAAGAACATAATAGGAGTAAAATTCCACTCCTTTTCCATTACACTGTACTGGTAATTTTTAACTAAAAATGTAATGCTCACAGATTCATCTTTGTGGTTTAATAACTTCTGCTTCAGCATAAGACGTCTCCGTTCAATTTCATCATCACTCAGTTCATCTTCCTCCTCTTCCTCTTCACTACTTTCAATTTTTCTCCTTTTCTGTCGTTCTTCATCTGAAGCTTCGTCTTCCACAATGGCTGGAGCATGAATATGTCTAAAAAATTACACAAGTATTTGATAAAAAATAGCCAATACATTAACATAAATAGAAAGTAATACTCTTCTCCTTTTTTAATTATTAAGTAATGGCAATGTTTAAAAATTTCAACATGTTGACACACTATGTTGTTTTGTAATTCTGACATACTAATGCTCAATGGAAACTACATCATTCCCCAAGTTCTGGATTCATTAAACAGGCTATAAGTGCGTAGAATATTATTAATGAAAGAATGTCTTAAAGAACATTTACTTCTATTGTCCAATAAAAATAAGAAAATAAAATAGAAATAAGAAAATCAAATTGACACATTCCTTTTCATTTGTACTCACTTGGCATGGCTTTTAATACCAAATAATGAATTTCCACACCATAATTCTCCAGAAAATCAAGTTGCCAATGTACTTGTTTCTAAAGTGAATTTTTAAAACAAGAATTGAGTAAGAAATACATAATTTTTCAAAAGAAATATATGTATGTATAAAACTATTACTGTTTAAATCAGTTATGAATGCAATATTCGTCAAATGACAATTTTGTCTTCTTACCATGACAACTTTACCCTCGAAATGTTGCTACTTCAATTTTCACATCTATTTGATATTTTTTCTGTATTCCTATTACATAACAGCACATGGTAAAAAGTATAATGTAACCAAAACTTCATACCACACATGGATATGACTCACTTCACAATAACTATTTCTTAGAACCTTAGTCTTTCAAACCAAGACGTGAAAATAATTGAAGAGAATTATGCTCTATTGGATAATTTGTACAACTTATGAAAACCAGTACCAGCAAAATAATAGATAATACTTTTAACATTCTGTAATATATTTGCACACCGGTGTCTTTCAACTCGATCTTCCTCTTCTGCTTCTTCTGGAGGCTCCTCAACTTTCCTTGTTTTCAACCTTCTGAGTCTAGGATCATCCACTTCAATGTTGCCGGGTGCTTCTTGTTCAGCTGGTTCCACAACTGCAGTAGATGCAACGGGCAAGCGTCGTTTTTGATCAGTGAAGTCATCATCATCAGATTCTTCTTCACTACTTGACATTGGAGCATAATCCGGTCTTTTTCCAGAGACATACCGGTGAACTTTGACTTTTTGCATAGATACTTCACCTAAGCAACGTAAACATGAAATTAAAGTGCTGTTTACAAATAATTATTTATCAAATAAATTCATTAATCTTACCTTTGTCATTTCTGACAGGCACGGCACCTGCAGTACTTTGTATACTTATTCCCGCTGTAGGATTCATTGTTTCTGATAGGAATTGCACTAATTAACTAATTCAGGTACTATGACACTTTCACTTATTTAAGGTTAACGTCACTGTCCAAACTGGTCCAAACATCCTCAGATCACTTCATCTGTTGGTGCATTCTAACCACTCACAAAGAATAGGGAAAAACTTCCTCAAAATAAAAAAACACAATCAAAATATAACCAATGTGATCTCAAAATCCAGAAACCACAGTAGAGAAATAAGCTTCACAAGCTGACCATAGGCAACTCTGCTATAATTCATTTCTCGCTTCGACCAGCGCTTCGACAATCATTCGACAATGTTACATTTGTTTACTCCGTACATCTCATATAGGAGCTCTCTCTGTATAGGAGTTCCGAGTACACCTGGAGTACACCAGAGAGTATATATAGGAGTACACATAGGAGATCCCACGGTGTAAGATAATCTTTTACACCATGATTCTGTGGACCACGGTGTAAGAAACACTGCACACCGTGCTGTCAGGATTCAAGATATTTTGTTCACAGGTGCAAGATATAAGATATATCTTACACAGTGGTGCTGTGGTCCAAAGAGTACTATGAAAATATTCAGCAAGGAGGTTGTTATTATTACAGTGAAAAACGCACATGTGTGAAATCTCTTTACAGAGTAAGACATTGACAGAAAATAAATATCACAATTACTGTTTATCTCAGCATACTGGTTGATTGACAGCCTTCTTTCTTTACACTGCTGGATGTAGCAACGATCGCAGAAGCTTCCGCAAACTCTTACCATTTGAAGAAATGCGAACACTGACACAGTATATAATACACGAATGAGTAGATTATTTACTAAAAGTAAAATAAAATTATTCATCAATTTCTTGCTGCAAGAGTCATGGGACGCGGTTTACAATAATGTTGATACAAACGATAACTACATTTTTTTTTTCCAACGCTTTCATTTCATATATAAAACTCGCTTTCCTCTTCAAAAGAGGAAATTAGATATTTCACGGAAAAACAATTCTTGGATAACACAAGGGATTATGACATCATGTAAAAACAAAGGAATTCTTTCTTTCATTTCTAAGCATCATCGCAACACGTATCTCAAGGGTTCCTCCTCTACTTTAAAAAATACAAATCATTTCTGAGAAAAGTCATACGGCAGGTTAAAATCATGAATCATGACCAGGATATTTTGAACTCAAATAATAAAACAAAAGCAATGTGGAATATAGTAAAAAATTATACCAAATCAACTAGAAACATTTTTAGGTACGATGTTTGTTTCCGAAATTTCTTCCCATGACATTCTGAATATAATCGGTAGACTAAAAAATAAATATTCGGCCGGGTTAGATGGATTTCCGGATTGTTTGTTAAAGGCTTGCGCGCCCGCCATTATACACCCATTAACTCACATATTCAATGTATCCTTACGCACAGGAAGTTTTCCAGATATTTTTAAAACAGCTAAGATTAAACCGCTTTTCAAAAAAGGCAACAAAAATGAAATTTATTATTATCGACCAATTTCTCTTTTGTCGTTTCTTTCAAAAATATTAGAGAGACTTTTTTACGTACGAATGGGAACATTTCTTAGTAAACACGGCGCGTTTTCAGATTGCCAACATGGGTTTCGAAAATCAAAACCGACGGTAACAGCCATCTTTTCTTTTCTTAAAGATGTCGCTTCATCCACGGATCACAACGAAGCAACTATTGAAATATTTTTAGATCTTTCAAAAGCCTTTGACGTCATTGATCATAACATTTTACTCTCAAAATTACCTTCATATGGATTTCGTGGTGTTTCTCTAGATTGATTTTGTTCGTACCTTAAACAACGATTTCAGAGAGTATAAATACCTTACTGGAAAAATGGAACATTATGTACACAACTTTTTGATTCTTTTGCAATTGCATGTGGAGTCCCGCAGGGATCCATTTTAGGCCCTATTCTCTTCCTACTGAACGTAAACGATATGCCCTCGACGATTAGAAACGGAAGAACAGTTCTCTTTGCGGATGATACGAATATTCTTTGCAATAAAGAAACCGTAAATAGTAGATTTTTCAAATTGTTTTCGTAATAACAAATTAATAGTAAATGAAAATAAAACTGTTTCAATCCAGTTTTTCATTTCAAATAAACAGCTCTGCATTTCACTGAAAATGAACGGTGTGCTATTGGTTGATGTTAAGGTAACAAAATTTTTAGGTCGAGCGTATCGTCCACTGCAAAGAGTACTATACGTAGAATCGCCCATATTTTCCCAATGAAGCCAGTGAGTTTGCGCGGCGGCCATACTGGTACAACCCAATTAGGCTTTGCCCAACGCCATCTTGAATTCTTTCTAGAGGGCGATGCTTTGCCACGTTCCGTTTCAGTGTACGACCAAGTGCTGAATTTTATTTCATATGCATTTAGAAGAGCTTGTCATGTGGTAAAGTGCTTGTCTATTTATGGAGGCTGGTGTTTTGAAAGTGTAATTGACCATGCTCACTAATGTTGGATTTGGATGCGCGTAAAAACAGGGTGAAAAACGTGCCGGATATAACATTCAACACGTAAGTACTATTTAGGATTAGTTTAGCTAATTATTTAAAAATTTACAATTTATATGAAGTAATTTTTCAGTTTCCAAAAGATCCGTAAATATGCGGCTGTGAGAAGGGATCGGACCCTCAACATATTCTTCTACCTTAAGTTCAGTGTTTATTATAAGTGATGATTTTGATCACACGTGTTTGGCTCGCGTACGATTGAAGACAGGGCCTGTCCCTCAAGTTTTTCCTGCTTTGCCGCAGTATTTGCAACCTTGCAGAGATCTGAACTTTTAATGTTTTTCCAATGTATTTTAATTTGAATAAATGGTGAAATTTTATGACTTTATGTAATTTATATTACCCTACAATTGATGTCATCCAACAGAATTAAAATAATTCGAAGTAATACTTTTAGTTCTACTTGGAAGTTGGGAATTATTTAATACCCAGAATAACATGGTAAGTCCCGTATTTAGTCATTATTTCAATATAATATGCTCAAAATTAGCTGTAATCTTAAGATAACTGTGCCTGTAAATATTAAACAAAAAAAACAACGGAAATTGTCTGTCACTATTGTGTACAATCGTATTCAGTGAGTTTGATCACAGATTTTGTGACATACAGTTGTTTTAAAAAGGTTTTGAAATAACTCAGAATTACATAATTTTAAAATTAAAAGTGTTTTATTTTTATTACTCAAAGATTGTTCTGCGGCGTTTCGAGGACATGAAGTTTTCCACATTTTCAGGCTACAATGAATATAAGAGAAAATTGAGGTTTTTAAAGAATGTAAATAAGTTAGAAACTTTAATATATAAACGATACAATTATAATAAAACACTTGCTTTCCATATATTTTTTCGAACATAATTTTCTAAATGGTGAGTCTTCATATGCCATTTTGCCGTCGTCCAAGAAAGAAAACTAGGATAACCTGAGTACTATAATCCGAAATACGGGGTCTTTATATGTACTGATTTTAAATAGTAACAAAATTAATAAGAAATATATTATCTATTTTATTACTAGACAGACTAGCTGTCAAAGTATATTTTCTGATTGAATTTTAAGCATATTAGTAGAATCTTGTTTGTACTGTTATCGTAATTATCCTTATTTATCGTGCTGTTTGCAGCGATCTGTCTCAAAGAATGAAATATTCTGTCTTACAAAATAAAAAATACATTTTGCTAGTTTGCTGTTACAGAAAACAGTCTCTATACAACATCAGACCCCGGTCTTTCGTCAAATACTGATGACATCTTACGGGATTATTGGGGTAGAAAAAGGACCTCCCGCTTGTCAAAATAAAGAAAATGTATAAAACGTGTATATATAAAACTGGAGATAATACGGAAAGACGACTTACTCAAGCAATGTTCTCATGACAATTGCAAAACAAAGATATTGTACAGAGAGAATGGCTCATATATTCACTTGCGAAGGGAATTTTTTGGCATGCGTTTTCCCACTCCAAATTTCCATTTGGCGAAGATGAATTTAATGACTGGAAACAAGCTCTGTAAGCCGCATCAGAACATGAAAATAGGCAAAAGTAGAGTTACTGCAGTAATTAAATTCTTAGAATCGAGAGGACTCCATTTAAGAGGTTCTGACCAAAGAGATGGTTCAATAAAAATATATATTATTTGGGTATTTTGGAACTTATAAGTCAATTTGACTCATTCTAACACGAACACAATGAAATATGGTAATGCAGGGAAAGGGATGCTATCATAGTACTATCAGCCACCATTTGTGAAGAGTTCGTACAAATAATGATTTTTGTTATAAAATATACCAGGGTGGTGATACTTTCGAAATATAATTTATTTTTGTGAAACGATAGTGCTTGTTGCAATGTCCGGGAGTCGAAATTGTGTCCAGCAGAAAACAAAGCCAGAATCACGTGCGTAGGTGTATAATATACCTGACTCGGTCACGACGCATAAAATTATGTAAGTAATGATTCAATATTGACTTATATGTTACTAACTTACTTTTAATTAATTTGAATTGCTTACTTTTTATTATATTTTCGTATTTTGAATTTTGTAAATTACATTTCCGTCATTCGACGGAGATGAAACATACAGTCTCTTGGGGTACCAGAGGCTTTGTTCATATTAATGTTCTCATCATAAAGTGGTGAAACAACTTTCAGATACTAGATGGTCTGCGCAGGCAGACCCAGTAAATGTTTTATGTGAAGGGTGTAATTAAATCAAATTACTTGTAGGTATTCAGTCTATTAGAAATGATTCAGTCGTTAGAAACGTATTAAGGTAGATTAGAGAATCTTGAAAGTTTTGTTAACAATATCGTGGAATTATATTCTGAGTAGATCCAACGCATCAAGTAAACTTCGCTAAAGTGAAATTTTTCTTTAGCAGTTAAGATTCTGAAATCATTAACGGTTTTTATTAGGAAGAAACTTTGACGACTATGTGTCCAAATCAAAAGCAAAATCGGTTATGCAAGAATAGCATGATACACAAATGCGTCAAATAAAACGTAGCTCCATTCTTGCATTTGCAGATAGTGGACGTTGTAATGAGAAACTGCTGGCAAGAGAAAAGTTAAGAGTATAGACATTCCTACCAATAATAGACACTGGTTTCTAGTCTAGAACTCCGAAATTTCTTGGATGTCTGCACGATAGAGAAATTTCAAAATATTATAAAACATTTGAAAACTTAATGAGCGGTGAAAGGACGAACACAAATATAACCATGCTCGAGGAGGGGCTCGAACCAGCGATCACCACGGCATTGCTGCCTTAGCGATCGCGGACACTCGGATCAGCCACCAATTCTTGTAATAAATTGCCACATTCTAAAACGAACTTTTTTTTATTTTTTCTTCAACTGTATTCATAAAATTTTTAAAATTGATCATCCCAAGGGACTTACCATTTTAAACGGAGTATAAGATTCGAAATTTCTCGCGCGGGTAAACTAGTTGGTATAACGTAATTGATGAATTATAATCATAAAAGTAAATGAAATTATCTATACTGAAACACAATTATTGGTTTTTATCATTATTTTAAGACTATAGAAACATGTTGCAAATCCTATGTGTAGAACTATAAAACTTAATTGTTGAGGTAAATCAATTCATCATATTGTGGCATGCATCGAATGCATTATAATTGAGACATTAATTTCAATAGTTTCCCAATAGTAGCCAGCCACAGAGCTCTCTCACGCGCCCTCTCGTGCCGGGATCCTCCGACGCGCACGCGATCCCCCTCCTTCCGATTCGCTACGCGCAGCTGCAACCCTTCCTTTGTGTAGGAATCTCTCCAGCCACTGCTGTTTACTTATAGTTAACGAAACACTCTTCCAGAAACGACGTAGCCACCCCCTTCGAGCCTCTACGGCGACACCAAATATCCATTAGCGAGAATTATGTTCGCCCGGGCCCATATCTGCGACGCAACTAGCCCCGCGCGTGGTTTTGTAAACACGGTGCGAGATGTGAAAACAAGGGACAAAGAATCCTGAAAATTTTACACACGTATCCCCTTTAGAATGTGTTGAGCGATTGGACTAAATAATTTTACTGCGCACATAGTTTCAACCTATCACCAACTAGATTTATAAAATTCGAAAAACTTTCCAGAACTTAAGTATTCTTAGTGGGGGAAATTGAGGCTTTTGTGGACGCTTGCGCGAGCGGACACAGATGAGAACAGACAGGCAAGGGGATGATTGAAAATACTTCTATTCTGGAAGTTTTTTCTCTGAGCACTGTCAGTTGAATTTATTTCTTAATTCTGACTTCAAAATGTTGTTGAACCTCAGTGTTTTTTTCAACTTTCCCCCCGCCAGTAACCCTGGCGAGGCGGGAGTTTATTTTCTTGTTGGGGAATCTCCTTTATGTGCCGTTCTTGGTCGTAAGAGAAAGAGGGCAGTATTTTAACTAAAGTCGTCGCAGTTATAAGTCCGACGGACTTATGAATTACTATCACAGCTCGCAACAAAATCTGCTACCAGTACTTGACTTCTTCACGTGGAAGTGACTCAGGGAACCGCAGCGACCACCGTCTACTGTCGTCAAAACCAGATCATTGCCTGGAGGGCGTTGACCCGACCGGCTGAGCAAAACTTTGAATCCTGACTACATGCACCTTCAGATTCTTCGACCTCTGCGGCCTTGCAGCGAAGCAAATCATTCAGCCCAGCGGATCAACAGATTCAGAGAATACCACGAGGACGTGTTTTTTAAGTTTGGCTACAAGCTCTCAACTGCCCTTCAGGCGTCTAAATAAATGGACTTTTGAATTCATGTGCTGTTCTTTTCAAGGAAATATTCTTAGCCGCGCTTTAGCGCCTAAGAAAAAGTTCGTAAATATTCTTAAACATAAGAATTTGTTTAGTCTTTTATTGTGGGGCAAATCTAACGAGCTCGTAGTAGGCTTATAATCATTATTATTTATAATTTTCTGGTTTGAATTATTAAACTAATGTTAACCTCATTTCTAAAACTTTCATTTTCATCGAAACAACGTCCGCCCGCCATCCCTTGTTTTCAGGCCACCTTTCTATAATCTAAGCTAGCTGAAAGATAACGCGACCCACCTTTTCCGAAGACGCGTACGTGACTTCGTGGCAATATCATTGGAACATAAGAATACTGATCCACTAACACGTGCGTTGTGTATACAATAAATTGACAATGTTCTGAAACACTTAACAAAACAATATTAGCTTCATTATTTGGTGTGAAGTGCTAGATACTACGAATCTTAAAATGTGAGTAGTAGAAACCAAGAACTCCCAGAATTTTTTGTTTGCTTAGACATAACGAAAAGCTGCCCTACTTTCTAGAGAAATATTCACATTTGCTTCTCTCCTTGCAGAATTACTTTCAGTAGAACAAGTGTTCATCACAGTGGCGTAACATTCGGGCCCAGGTAAAAGGACTGTTATTTCTCCTATTTAAGGTAACAACACTAGTTGTGTTTGCTGTACATTCTTATGAAAGAGGCCCACACACATTTCGTTACACTGCCGATTCTTCAGCAAGACGCTTTTGCCTCTTCGCCGATTCTGGATTTTTTTATAGTAAAAAACCCTTTCTCTTAGCAATTGATACGCAAAACAACATAGATTAGTTTTAATACATAGAGGATCATTGCTTTATTACATACCACTGTACTAACCTCCTGCATATTCTGGAAAAGAAGTTCATTGCTTGACCCAAAACAAACATTTTTCATTTTACCAATTTTAACAAGAGTGCTGGGTAAAAAGTAAAATTGAGTTATAATTGAAAGCTGCCCTACTTCCTAGACAATTACTCACATTCCCTCCTTGCAGTATTATGTAAGGTAACGATGCAAGTGTGTTCTTCAGCAAGTCGCTTTTGCCTCTGAGTAGCCGACTTGTAGAGGTGCATCAAGCTGGAACAGCTAGAACTATCCGTTGAGTTGGGACGCGAATTTAACTTATGTGTGCTGGTGCCCGTGCACACTCGTTTTCGCTACGAAGATACATGACAATTAATTAGCAATAAATTATCTGAGGGCTTCCGTCGAGCTGCGACGCGAATTTAACATGTGTGTGCTGGCGTCCAGCTCACACCCGTTTTCTCTACGAAGATACGTGGCAATTAGCAATAAATTATCTGCGGGTTTCCGTCGAACTACGACACGAATTTAACTTATGTGCTGGCGTGCCGTCAAACCAGCTCACATACGCTTTTGCCTCTAAAATGCGGGGGAATTAATTAGCAACAAATAATTTAACATGTTTCATTCCGGTGTTTTGGGCTGACACGACTGTTCCTGCTTGACGCACCTCATTGTGGTCTGGACTAAGTTTGTTTTGACAATTGTGGCGTTGTTAAAAACAATTCACTTATTTCTGTAAAACAAGAGGTTTGATTAGAAAGTATACGATATCTATATATTGTACATTACTGTATATTATTTTACTCTTTACTCTCTCAATCTACCTTTATTTTTATACTTTCAAACACAACACAGAGAAATAACTATGCATGTATATTGACAATCTTGCCGTTTTTGAGAAAATGGCATCTAAGCGTTTCTGAAAATGCGGAATTTTAAGCTCGTTATTACGAAAAAACTGTTGTTTTCGATAAACATTCACTACACCCATGGGATGAACCATAGCAGTTGACATGCCCAGAAACATCAATCATATATTAGATAGTTGATGTAATATTGTGAAATCAAGTAATCTTTTACACATTTATCTTATAAATTGAACCTATGATATCCATGTATAAAAACAACTGTCAAAATTTTTGGGTTCCATTTAGTACTATAAAATGGTTAGTATTGTGTCAGAAGTAAGTACATCATACGCATAAAAACTTAAAGTGCATGTTTGGTGTTTTTTGATTTCATTATACATTAACACAAAGTGTACCAAAAGGCTTAAGGAAGTAAAAAAGTATACATTTTTAAAAATACCTTCAAGGATAATGGGAATAGTATGAATTTTGGGAATTCATTGGTCTTGTTGCAAGCCTAGCACGAGGTAGGTAGAGTGCTTACACTTCCTCTATAAGCTATGGTAATATGAAGGTTGTTTGTTAAGTCAGGTACATTTTTATGAAAGAACATGAATTGTTAAACATCAGCTTTGGTAGAAAGCATGATTCTTGTTAGGCAATTGTTTGAATTTTCAAACAAATGTGATTCATAAGTATTTGTTGCCATCAACAAAATTTGAGTTTGACGTGCGGGGTAGGAGATGGAGAAAGAGTTTCATGCCGAGATTAAACATTTTTATTTAAAAGGTTGGACTTCAGCACTGAAGTAGAGAAGATAAAATGTGCTAAAGGCAGCCAGTCACCATTTACACTGAAAAAGTTCACGATCTGGTAATGGAAGATCATGGAGTGAGAGTGCGTGAGATAGCTGACGCTGTTGGCATCTGAACTGAATCTCGCACAAAAAACTTACCATGAAAAAGTTGTGAGATCGGTGCTGCAATTGTTCAATTTGGACCAAAAATACTTGGAAAAACCTACACAGAACTGACAATGTTGAGGCAAAAGCAGCATGACTTTTAGTGTCTATTCTTCACTATAGATGATACATTGATTCATCACTAGTGAAACCAAAAGATTAAAAACCGTGGGCAAAGCCTGGTGAGAGTACACCAAAGAAAGCAAAGACATTTTTGTCAGTAGGAAAGGTGGTGGCCATTGTTTTTTGGGGCTCTTGGAGTAGAATACTCAGATTTGTTAAAGGCATAACATAAAAGGCGATTTGTAACCATAACTGGGCTCTTTTATGCTTCAGTATTGGATTGACTGAGATTGGCAAACAAGAAACCAAAACTTTTTCATCAAGACAATGCTCCAGCCCTCCCAGCAGCAGTCACGATGGCAAAAGCGCATCAGTTGGGATTCAAATTTGTTCCTCATCCAGCAATTCCCTGGATTTAGCTCTGAGCGACTTCTATTTTCACAACATAATATTTGGCATGGTTGGCAGTCATTTTCATTAAATGAAGAAGTGACTGCTCCTGAAACCATGTATTTCATAGAGAAAAAAATCCACACCCCACTGACAACTTTGTTGTCCCATTTTACCAAACTTATCAAATGGGTACACCATTGTACAGCATTAAAATGTACTTAGTATAAAACTGACAGATATAAAAGTTGTTAGGTATGATACACTCGTAATTAACTAAAGGAACTTCATCACTGGTAGGACTTGTTTTGGAAAGGAAGATGACAAAAACCCACACTGGATTTTTACCTTGTTTCATCTACCACTTTGAATCTGTTTGGTAGATAATGTACATAATTTAATATGTCCACTTTCTAAAGTAAAACATATTTGAAATTTCATAATATGTTTTATTCCATGAATACACAGACACGATACGGCAAGTAACAACTGATAAGACTTTGTACAATTTCGGCTGAGATTCCCATCTGTCCAACACACTCATGCAGAGACTAAGGAAATAACTAACTTTCAATGAAAGTAGTGTATATCAACCTCAGTTCTGTTGTACACTCCAAATTAAAAATACACTACACAGCTTTATGTAATCATTTATTTGCATGTGCACTTTTGTTTCTAAATAGTCTCTGATGGACATTACATAATTCATATTCCATATTTATCTGAACATAATTGGAACAATATGCTCCTTGAAAGAAATAATTTTCATTATAAGAAATTAAAAACTCATGACAATGAACAGAACAGGGATCGCATTACATATAAAAACTTCTACTTTGTGCTTACTTGAAGTTCAAGTTTTCAACCAATGTGCAAAAAAGTTATCCTCAAATTGTGCCAAAACGGAAGACATTCTGTATTCTTGTTTTATAGTATTTCTTCTTTAACACCCTGCTCTACATAATCTATACAACATTACCCTATAAATTAAGTTTTGTAATAATAAAAAGTGAGACAAGTGATCGAGCGAGCAAGTGTAGTTGTGTATAATGCAAATCTTGAGGACAATGGCTTTGCAAGTAAGTGTAGGTCTGGAAATTGAGCAGATGAAATACTGGTCATGTCTTTGGTTGATGAATGCCACTTGGTAGAAAAGGAAAGCAACTTTTTGACAACAGCCAAAATCAATTTCATTGACATATTCTTATTGGAGAGACCAATATGTTGTGAACTAAGTGTGACACACACACACACCATTACATATGAAATCAATACAAGACTTTTAAAATGGTTTTATCATGAGGAAGAAAACCATATTCCCAACTTCCATTTTGTGATTGCAAGATTCATTTTTTGAGTGTTCAATATAAAACAAACTCCAACCATACTGCCTGGAGTTGTAATGATACTTACAGTGGTAGTATTCCTAAGTATTCTAAGAGAATAATCTACAAGCTAGCAAACTAAATCCTTCATATCGCACATCTAAAAACAATCTCTAATAATAGAGACTTTGAAAAAGGAGGACAAAGAATCACAAAGCAGAATACATATTATTACAATATCTTTTCTTTCTTCATTTTTCCTTATAACTAACCTATGAAATTCTAAAGTCTTTAACATACATCACAATTTAACCACATAATCAGTTCCGTACACGCATATCAGTCATCCATGTTTTCTGGCATCCGTACAAAGAGTTGCATTTTTATAATATATTTTCTATTTAAAGAGAGAGCTTTTCATGAAAAACTTGGCTTAAGTCTGTATTTATAGAGGTACAAACACTGATTAAAAAGTAGTTTAACCGATATGTCCGTTTCTGAACTCTACATCCCTTGTCTTTAACATTTCTTGGAAGATATACTCCCCCATACTGAAACTTCGTACATCAATTGGATTTTTAATTTCCAAACATACATAAATAAGTTGCATGGCTTTCAAACAAGGGAAGTTTCATGTAAAAATATTCACCCACACGCTTCCATCCTTGCATATCACCTCAATTAACGTATTATACAAATAAAACAATTTCATGGATCTTCTTGCATTGCTCTAAACATCATGATAATGGCACTTTCTAGACATTAAACAACAGCCAGTTCTCTGAAAATGTTTTGATTGCATTTACGAACACATTGAGTAGGTCTTCCATGCACAACTTATCAATTCAAATTCTGGTGGAATGATTCCACACTGAATACAAGCTCCATTTTTCTATTTATAAACTACTCAAGCTGTATTGGTAAACAAACTTTTATGCATGTTTACATGAAACCCGAAAATTTTACACATACATTTGCAGCACAAACATCTTTTACTACAAATATATTTTATATACTGCACAAGAATCCGCAAGACAACGAAAGAACAAACATTTTTTAAAAATTCAAGAAATCAGTTATACACTCCATACTTATTGTAAATCTTTAAAGAATTGAAATGTTTGTTAATAGATGCATCACAAACATCAGCAAGCTAGTCTTACAAGTTTCAAACTTAAAATTAAAACTCACTAACTAGTGCTTCATTGCAATTATGCATAAAACTGTTTTGACTCTTCTAGACAATTCTGTTGTCTACCAGTAATTTGTGGAGCAAGTATATTGTACCAGTGTGGATGTTCATAACTATTCAAAGTACACTTCGAAGAAATGGCTTCAGAGAAATTATATAAAGGTTAAATAATTTCACTCGATCACACATGAGATTCAAAATATTTTACAAACTAGAAACAATAATAATAATAATTACACGTCAAATAAGAAGACACTTAACAATGTGCTGAAGTAACTATTACCAAATTCAACATTCTAACAAGACTGTTTCAAATGCCTAATTTGGTTTCCAGGCAAGCCATATAGTAAGGGGGAGGTCTTCCTGCACTCAACCCACAGCAGGACTTAGTCCTCAAATACATCTCAGTTAAAATGATTGGTGTTGCGCATCTTTTATCTTTCTGGCAAAATGGCTTTGAGGAACAAAATGATTAGGTCTTTCTTAATAGAAAGAAACATAGATTCTGAATCTAATCATGTAATTAGCAACATCAAAAATATATTTGATAAAATGAAAGAGGAGTCATGAATTTTGAACATGTAAGTAACTTGTGTCTTCTTCCATTAATAGCGGGACTAGCAAATGTGCATCCCATTGGTCAGCGTAACAGTTTTTTATTCCAATCCCATATCAGAATTTGAATTAACAAACAATTATTCCACTATTATGAAGACTAATGCTGCCAATGTCTTTCCATGCAGACCCTACAAGTTTGTAACAGTATGAATAATAAATCAATAACAAACTAAAACAAGAATTTGATGCGAACAAATGATGACAAGAGAGATACATTTTTCTATTGTTTTTCTCCTTCACAATACAACATTTGGGTATTTCCCAAAACGGTTTTGAAGAAGCAGCTTGGATCCAGATTTAACTACAGCTAGCTGCCGAACTTTATTCTCATTTACATGGATTTGCATGTCCTTTTTCACATTCATGGGACGCAAAAGAAATGTGATATTTCTTCATCTGCTTCAGATCTTGTGTTAGTAGACAACGATGTTGTACAAGTAGGGGAAATTAATTATAATTATTATGGGTACTGGAAAATGATGACAATGATGAGGCAAGGTGAATGTTGTCATGTAGTACGATGAGATGAAGTAATTTGTCACTTGAAATTATTTTCCTCTTCATGTAGTTCAGTATGGAGCAAATCGATTGTAGCCACTCCTATAAACTGCAGCCTGAAATAAAGTAGAAAAATGAAATCATTTTACTGCAAACTATTCTGTGTGCACAAGTGCATCTTTGCACAACTATTTACATGTTCCTCAACATTCACATAAGAAGGGTAGACTTTACCAACACCCATCACACATTCTGACAGGGTAGAATTTTAAGTATACTTCTTTACCAAAGGGCATTCTGGTAATGAAGTAAATTTATTCACAGATAAATCTTAAATTGATGTGACTGTCTCATGAAATTAACAATAAAAACACCTTATGCACACAATATCCTTATATTACTTAGAACTTACCAATACTAACTTCTTTTTGGAAAACATACAAAAAATATTTGTATTTTTACTGAAATAAATTTAATTCCATACAAACTTATGAATACACAACTCCCCCCTCTTCATGAGAGGCAAATGAAGTTTTATTGTAAATATTACAAGTAACCTGATATTCATATGTGTAAAATCTTCAGGGATGAATACACATGAAAACTGTCAATAACATGAAAACAAGAAAGTAACTTACAACCATTTTCCACATTCAAAAACTAATGAAGGATATTTCTTAAGAGAACACACAATGGGTAAATGGTAAATGTTACTATCTGGAAATACTTACTCCATAACCAGCAACAGGACCTATGCTATGCCCAAGGTAAGGATCTGCATATTCACGGCCATATCTATAAAAGCAAATTAATTGATTCAGTTGCAATTCTAATAATAAGACAATAAACACCAAAAATACTGATTACAATGCCTGTTTGTGAGCTTGTTTCTTAAATAACAAAGGCAAAATAAAAAAAAAAAGACTTTATCGACATTAACACGACCAAAATTTGACAATTTTATATATTTCACTATTAATTTCAATATGTCAGTGGACAGTTCAACACTAAAACAAAAGTACGAACAGATACCCCCCTCCACACACACACCCACAACAATTTCTTCAACACCCTTTCCCATGAAAATCGTTTTATATATTGAAATGTTTTGAGATGAATGAGTGGGAGGGGGGAGGAGAGAGAGAGGGAGGGTGGATAAAGAGAGGACGGAGGAGAGAAAGGAGAGAGGAGAAGAGACGGAGGGAGGAAAAGAGAGAGAAGAGAGAAGACCGGAGGGAGGAGAAAGAGGAGAGAGAGAGAGGAGAGGACCGAAGCGGAGGAGAAAGAGAGAGAGACGGAGGGAGAAAGAGAGAGACAGAATGTTCTTTATACTTCTTTTGGAAACATTCCTGTAACTATTGATCCTAACAAAAATTAGAATAAAAAAGAAGATAGGTAAAATATTTTCTTAAAAATATTACTTTTTGATGAAGATTTGATTCTTTTGAACTTTTTGGGAACAAAACTATACGTACAGATACCCCCCCTAAAAATTCCTTTTATTAAAAATTCTTCATTTGACTTAAAAAGATAATTATAAACATGTGTTAATGCGCAACTTATTAAAAATGTTAGTGCAAAAGGCAGATCCTCATCAAGCTAATCATTTTTTGGACCATGGCCATTCATTTACAAGTTGCCTTCCATTTTAAACTTGCCTTATTCATTTGCAATGTTCCCTAAATTAGCCATACAGATGCACAAAATTGCATCTGATTTTGCATCATGAGCAATCTTGTCATCACTGGTTCTAGCATTCCATCCATGCCACCAGTCTAATACCAGTCAACATGTGGCAGTTGGTCGGACTAAGGTGCTATGCCATCTCCTCCATTTAGAAAATCTTCCTTTACTTTCTTTTTTGTGAAGCTAAATACACTTGTAAAAACATCTGCCCATCAGCTTGTGACACTACCTCTCAGAGGGCTTTTCGCCTAAGTGTGGTTGAAAGTTCATAATGAGCAATAGCTTTGAGGCTCTCATTTTTTCCAAGTGTTTTCTCAATTTGTGTTTCACGGTATCCAGATTAGGAAGTATCTTACCCACTGACCCATTGATGAAGAGAAATTTAATTTTAGCCGATCACCACTTTACAGTCTAATTGGACTGAGCCATCGTTTGGAAATACAAATTAAAAGCAGAAACTGACAATCACCAGAGTACTTAAATATCAGGAATTTTACATGCAGAACAAAAAGCTCAATGTATTTCATTCAAATGTCCTTTGAACCCTAATGTAAATTAATGCAAAGGCCAATTTAAAAAAAATGCACTGTTCAGTTGTAGCTTTTTACTTTCTTGATATCGAGGTAGACTCTAAAACAAAATTACAAAATGTTCCCCTCTCCCCCAGTGAACCAAGACGACAGAGCATTGATGAGAAAAGTCAATTGCACTCTTGTGCTAACAGAGTAGTAAAGAGGGAGATAAGCAGTAACAGCATTTTATATATTTTTATGTATTCAGACCTACATCCACATGACACATTGAACCAGAAAGTTTTTGTAAAGCATTTCTTATGAGGAATTTTGTCCTCAACTGCTCTTATAGACATTTTCACATCAATCTACACAAAACAAATTCAAGCATCTGCAACAAAACTCGCACAGATGAAAAATATTTCCTTCGTACAAGAAATGCAGTAGATGTTGCGATCTTGAATATTGAGGTACTCACCCAGCAACAGCAGCATAGCCCGCTACGGGCTGGGCAGCAGCGGCCGCTGCACCATACGCACGGGCTGCTACTGCAGTGTATGATGCTGCTGCTGCATAGCTTGCCTGTTGGGCAGTCGACAGAGGGGTTTTAAGTAGCGGGGTGGCAGCGGCAGCAGCAGCAGCCTGAAACACAGCAGACCAGGGGGCATGCAGCACGGCGTTCCAACCAAGCATCGCAACAGAGCACAGCATACAGCACAGCATGTTACTACAACTGCTCCTCGCTTTTGGAAACCTGCCATCTTATTCTGCATGGCTGTATATTATTTTTTTGAGATCACTGGTGTGATTTTAGCTAACCTTCTGAACTTATGGGATTTTTAGATTTCGTTACATTTAAAGTAGGCAGTAAAAATTAAATAATTCTCTTGTAGGGCATAAATATAATTTCAAAAGAAAAACAGAAAGAAGGAAAGGAAACATTGGCAATGTGAAGAAAAAAGTATAAGAAATTATTTATTAATGATAAACAAAAAGTTGCAATTGAATAAAAAAGAAATTTGTGATATTTTCACATTTCATAATATATAAAATTTATTTGACATCTGTAGAAGAAAATGCTGTGCCAAAATATTGTAACTTTATCACTCATTACATTTTCAAAAAAACAAACAATAGTGCAAAATGGCAAACAGCAACCTTCAACTGCAACTGACACCATCTTTTTCTTGATGATGATGACAGAAAACACTTTACAAGAACAGGGTTCTATCATTTGAAAGAATGGATCAGCAATTTCTATCTGAATTACAACATTGCCAAGTTATATAGCTCCTCAAATGAAGATAGATTAGTCGTATTTGGTATTTTAACAAAACAAAAATTACTACTAAAATGCTTCTTTCCACATCAGCATAATCATGAACGATTATAAAAAGCAATTAACAAGGTAACTTAACTTTCAAGTTCTGTGATTATCCACAATGAAGTTTTAACTTTTAACTTATTGGTCAATCCTATGCCACTCATAATTTTTCCATTAAGTCTCAAATCCCTACAGGACTCATATGAAATTATTCTTCGTATGCGAATCAAGATTAGATAGTTATTAATCGATTTCATTACCTGAAGCTTCAAACAGAACTAGGCTTTTGGTATTCATTATTGCAGCTTTCATTTAAAAATAATTATGTTATTAAGCATATTCTTTTATTCAATTAACTTGAAATTGAACTGATAAATTGATGCAGTTAATTTATTATCATTCCACAAATCTGCAGCTCGAAACAGCAATCATAACTTCTCTGGGGGACATTTAAGTACTTCCATTCCCTAATAAATGCATGTCTTGGCAGTGAGTAGAACTACTTTTCCACCTATATAACTACCATAACTAAGCCACCAATGACATGTAATTATCTAACAAGCCAAAAGTATCTTGTAAAAATAGATGTTAATTTTTATTTGTTACAGAAATAGATGAGAAGCCAATTTAATACTAGTGAAGACCAATTTCTCAGTAGAAATATACATATAGAAACAAAGGACTGAATTTGAAGTCTGCAATATAAATGCAAAATGATGTGAATTATAGAACTCTCAAAAACATTAATTTCTTTTTGACCTCATTCAAGATTTTAAACTTCTGGGCCAAAACAAGCAGAGAGAGAGAGAGACAGAC